CCCAAACTGATGGCGAGATGGAGCGAGGACTATTTATATATACTGTATGAAATAGTGTTATATCAAACTGGTCCTATAGTCACTCTATTACATTTTTATTTTTGTTAAACCTTAATTTAATCAGGAAAAAATCCCATTGGGATTAAAAACCTCTTTCTCAAGGGAGTTCTGGCCAAGAGCCAGCAAAGTTACATAATAAACAGAGATACATTACATTAAATGACAGGTACATAAAAAATAATTTCAAGTAAAACAATTACATATCATTGAGGCTGCTTCAAATTCTTTCACTTTCAACTTAAAAGCATTTAAAGATAAAAACTCGGTCAACTTCCAGGTTCTTTGTAAAAAATTCCACGCACAAGGAGCTGCGTAGCTAACAGCACCAAAAGTAATTTCTCCCTGGGATTATTAAAGTATTTCTGATTCTGATTCCGGGTTGATGTGACAGGTGTTGTGAATGAAATGGTGTCCAGCTTGAAAGAGCTCCTGTGTGTCACTGAATGTGAGCATTGATGACTGAAAGACATCTTCTGCCTCCATTTATCTGTTTACTACGATTGTTGAGTTCATGTTATTGTGGATTTAAATATATTTCAATTGGTGGAAAAAATTGCAGTGGGGGAATATAAAAAAAAAAAAAGTCTAATCAACCCAAACTTTCGCGACCCCCATGCAGTACCTCTGTGGACCCCTAGGGGTTGCGGAACCCCCTGTTGAAACCTCCATTCTAAGGGCCTTGAAGTTACAGGTCTAGCGCCCCTTGTGGCTAAAAGGTAGACATTGCTGCTTTAATGAAATCAAATTAGCACGGACATCTTTCATTATATTTAAATAGAATAGTTAGGATGACTTCATAAGGAAATTCTTGGAACTCATTTAGACCCTCATGTAGGTGTTTTTGCCTAAAATAAGTCAGACTTTGGAGTCTGTATTTTATTTTTTATTTTTTTTTGTAGTTTCTTCAGGTGATGCTATGTAAGTGTTACTAGTGATTCCAGATGTGCTCCATGACAGATTGTAACTTAAAACCTCTCAGCAGGGTGTCCCTGGCATACAAGGGCCCCCAGGTCCTCCAGGACCCCCGGGATCTCCAGGCCCTAATGGTCCCACTGGGCCACCGGTAAGTGCCAGCTCAGTTTTAAATGCAAAAATACTTTGGTCTCTTCAAGTATTTTCTGATTTGTGGTATGAACATCAATTAAAAACATTGCATCTAATGATCTTGTTCTTAATAATACAAATAGATAATTTTTCCTCACAATTGCGGTGGGAGGGTGGGTTGTGGTGTTCTCCTTTGACTTAGTAAGTCTACGTTCACACAGCAGCCTGAAGTGACCCAAATCCGATTTTTTTGGCCCAGATGCGACCTGGATCTGATCTTTTCATGGCAGTCTGAACAACTCAGATCTGATTTTTTACAATCCAACCCAGGCCACTTGGCTCTGTGGTCCTGAATCCGATATGAATCTGATCTTTTCAAATGTGACCTGTGTCTGAACGGCCAGGTGGCATTCATCCAACCTGAATGCCATTAGTAGCAGATAAAGGTCACTATTCTGCGTCTTGCTACGCAGAAGCGGCAAGAAAAACAACAACCATGGGGGACGATAATACGAAGAGCAGTATTTATGCTTCCTTCCACAAAATATTTGGAATTGGGAGTTCTTTGTTAGCCTGTAAGCTGACAAAGAACCCAAACAACTCTATTCCTAAGGGGCGGACCCGTTCCTCTGGTTCAATTAGCATGTTTTCTAAGCCAAAAATAAGGCTTTGTTTTGGTCCACTCTCTAAAGCCTCGAACTCAATGCTATTTCTGACATTTTGATATGAAAAAGCTTCCTGGATGGGAAGCAAGAAATCTTCAAACTTGGAAACACAATCCAGTGGATTGTTTTTTTAACTTCTTTGGAATCCTGTATGAACAGTAACAACTGGATTTCTGATGTATAAAAGAAACTTGCATGCTGTTAGTGAAGACTTGCATTTTCCTTCTGCACCAGGGTGAAAAGGGAGAGCCCAACCTGTTGGAGAAGGGGTGTAAGGGAGAACCAGGTTCACCAGGAGTACCAGGTCCAATTGGGCCCAAGGTGAGATATGTTTCAAAGACACCTTGTAGTTAGCAGTGACCTCTTTAGAGAAAAACTTAATGACATTTAAAACTTTATCTTTTTAGGGTGAGAAAGGAAACAAGGTGAGATATAAAAACTAAAGCATTGAAAAAAAATCCAGTTTAAGGTGAAACACAATGGAAATATAGAATTTATTTATTTTTTTATATTAGGGGGAACCAGGTATGGAAGGCCCTGCTGGTCCAAGAGTAAGTCTTCAACAACTCATTTCAATTTTTGTCCCCCCTTCATGGGATCTAAGATTCAAGCTACTTTTACAAATGTTTTTTATTTTATTGTTTAGGGTCCACGGGGGCCAACTGGGATTCCAGGAAAGGCTGATATCCAGAACACTGAAAATGTATTCCAGTCCCAGAATCTTTCCTTTATCTACAATGTAGGACATGTTCTGTAACATAGTAACACTGTGTGTTTTTCTACAGGATATCCGCAATATACCCCAAAGGGTAAGTCATTTTCAGGGACTTCACTACACATTTTGGGTTATTGGTTCATGGGAGAATCAGACAGCAGCAAACGACTCATACGTGGATGGAGGAGGAATACCTCCTAACAGATCATCATACCGCTCAGTAGAGAAAACCTCTGCTGTTTATCATCTGACATCCTGCCCTGTCTCTCCTCATTACTGATGGCTGAGCTGAGGAGGGCAGCGAGACATTCCAGCAACATAATCCAACAGGCTGCATACAGGGTCTCATATAGCTACTGTTTACTTAAATAAAATCAAAAGATACATTTGTTTATTTGAACATTGAGTTCATGAATTAATAGAGGTTCCTTTTACATTAAACTTTTAATCTTGTCCGATCATCTGGTCATTGGCATTGTTGGAGCTAAGATGTTACTTAATAATGCCTGAGCTCCAACTGTGTTAAATACTGGGTTCAGACCGGGCGAGTTCTGGGTGTCAAAGCATCTGGTTTACATGCAAAGTTTATGGGGGGTGGCGTTGAGAGTTCCAGCGGGGCATTTAAAGCTTTCTGGCATCTGAGTATCCGAGCGTTCAATGCTGGAGTTAAATTCAATTCAGTTTATTTCTATAGCGCCCATCTCAAGGCACTTTACAGTTCGCCAGATCATCCAGTCAAATTGATTTAAAGTTTTCTATCTAAGGAAAACCAGTCGATTGCATCGACCCGTTTACTCAAAAACAATCCCTCACACTAAGCATGCTTGTAGCGACAGTGGAGAGGAAAAACTCCCTTTTAACAGGAAGAAACCTCCAGCAGAACCAGGCTCAGTGTGAGCGGCCATCTGCTGAGGCCCACTGGGGTTCAAGGAGACAGAAGCAGAGAAACAAAAAGCAACTGTAAAAGGCGGCCCCGTCCGGGAAACACACAGCCAGGCAGACGAGCTCCGAGCCAGCTCCCATGTCAGAGGATGAAGAGAGCACATCTAGTTAGTCGCAGTTAGAGAAATAGGACTACACTGAAAAACACACCGATCTTGAACATCTATAAATGAAAGTGTTGATGGCAGCAGCACAGCTGATATTTCTCTCCAAGTTCAGTGAATTGAACTTTTGTTGATGGACGCCGGAGCATCAACCAATCAGAAAAGCAGATCCAGGAGTTTTTTTGGCAGAGACAGACACTACCTGCAAGCTGTCATCACTTCTGTGGAAATTCAACATATGAAACATGAAAAAATATCAAGGAGTTAAACTCCAAAGGTTAAATAGAGTGGATTGTTATGTAGAAGGAACAGACAGCAGCTCTGATCATTATTGCTGCACTAAAACATTTTTTATAAACTATGGAGAAACGGTTTATAAATACCCAGATTAACTAGAAATGTTAAAACCTGCTGATAAAAAAGATTTGATTGTATGTTCTGGTAATAGCAGTTTTTAAGACCGGCCTTAAAAAGTCTTTCTATTCACTTCCAGCCGCTACGAACGGTAGCTGCAAATCCCCCACAGGCTGGCCGCAGCAGAGAGCTTCCAGTGGGGATTTTACAGCGATGCCTCCTGGCTGGAGGTCTGGCAGTCCGAACAGGAACTGCATATTTTAGTGGGATCATAATCCTGATGAACAGAGGATTTTTGGAGGTGGACTTTCTCACTTAAAAATGTGTTAAAACAATTTTTCCAACTCATAAAGTAAATAAAGTCAAGCTGCTCTCTAGTTTGATGCCACAGAACAGAGCAGATAAACATCGGAACGCCAAACAGAAAGGCAACTGAACCTCAGTTTGATCCAGTGTACAGATTTCTGCGTTTATGAGTTTTTGATGCCAAAAATGCTTTTTGGTTTGAACGCAGCATTACTACGCATTTACCAGTAACTAGCACAGTAACCATTTCATTTGTAAAAGTCAGTTATCGCAGGGCAACACAGAGACAAACAGGACAAACAACCATCCACGCACACACTCACTCCTAAGGAGAATTTAGAGAAGCCAACAGTCATGTTTTTGGTCTGTGGGAGGAAGCCAGAGTACCCGGAGAGAACCCACGCATGCTCAGGGAGAACATGCAAACTCCATGCAGAAAGACCCCGGGCCGGGATTTGAACCCGGAACCAATTGTTGACATTCTTTCATTTTTTTCTTAGGTGCTTCCTGGTTTACCTGGGCCTCCGGGACCCCCGGGAATCCCTGGTGCAAAGGTAGGAGAAATTTCTGAAATATGGAAACATTATTTTCTAACACTGTAATCAGAAATATATATTGATTTAAGTTTAAGTAATTTTTCTTACTTATTTCTAGATTGTTGCTTTTTCATCAGTTTGTGCTCTGATGAAAAGCTTAGCAAAAGGCTTACAGCGGTCTTCCCCTAGGGGCCTGGATACTGTTGACGGAAAAGGCCGGAGGATGAATGAGGCAGGGAATAGTCTGAACATCAGGCAGGACAGGAGGCAGAGAAGGGTAAAAGTTCAGCTGGTATGCAGGAGAAAAGCTGCACCAGGAGCTTAGGAAGGAGATCTGAGACGATGATAGGCGGCAGAGGTGGCGGGATCCTGCCCTTGATTTGCTAGAGCTTTGAGCGTAGAAAATCAGCAGGTGATCGTAACTGGAGACTCTAAAACATTTCTTTATTTGACAGACCGACACACTTAGAGCAGGAGTCATAACAAAAAAATGAATATTTTGCTTTTAGAATAAAAATGTTCTCCTCAGTCTATCTGCTCTAACCAGAATTCCTCAGGTGGAAACCAGATTTAATTTAACAAAAGGTCTTCCTTAAAGAATCCTATGTGATTATTAATTGAAAAAATAATCAACAGATTAATCAATTATCACAATAATAGTTAATTGGCTGCCGTACTTTATAAGCCTGGCTGATATAGGTTTCGGATAATTGTTTAATGGTACCTTCAGATTTCTGTTTCGATTTGTAGTAGTAAAGTTTTGGACTACTGTTGAGGACAGAGAACACATAGATAAAAACGAATTACTAAAATACTACGTAAAATGATGAAAAAGTTGGTTATACTCACATTGTTTTCAAGTGAGTATTGAGAACAGTATAAATACTGTATAAATCATTTTACTTGATATTTCCAGAATTTAAATGTAAAAGAAAAATGTTTTAAAACTGAACGCTACATGTTTTTCATACTTGAAATGATGCTTATCTCCTTTCTGTTAGAAACAAAAATAGCTAAAGGAAAATAAATGTATATCTTCAACTGAGTATTAGGGCCAGGCTAGAGATTTCTTTTTCTATTACGAGAATGAATTCGTAAAATTACGAGAATACAGTTGTAACATTACGAGAATAAAGCCCTAATATTATGAGAATTAAGTCGTAAATTACGATAATAAAGTCACGAGAATAGTCATAAAATTATGAGTATAAAGTCGTAATGGTATGAGAGTAAAGACCTAATATTCTCATTTGCTCATTTGTATATGTTTCTTTTTACATACAGCATTAAGAAAAAAAACATTTACTTATTCCGACAAATTTGCTTCTTGCTATTAGACTCATCATTATGAAAATAAGCTAATATTTAAGTTAATAAATGAAGCTACATATAGATACATATTTTCTAAACTTAATTCATTATGGCATAATATTATGGGTTATAAATCTTTCTTATATTTATGACAGTTCTGGCATAATTAGTGCTATGAGAGGCAGGATCTACCAGCTAATGGAATCTTAACTTAACGATTAAACTAGGGCTGCAACTTACAATTATTTTGCAAATTGATTAATTTAATAATTATCAGTTAGCCAAAGGTTCCTTAAGGAAGATCTAAAATTTTTCCACTTGAGGAGATCTGGATAGAGCAGATTGACAGATTAAGAGTTTCTTTATCCTAAATGCTTAATAGTTACATATTTTTACTATCTTTGTATAAGTACTGCTCTAAGTTATGCGCAGCCCCTGAATTCGAACTCAGCCAGTATTTATATTTGGCTTTATGAAATCAGCCTTTTTTAAATTCCTTTCATCGGCTGTTCGGTGACTTTAGCAGGAAGAGCGCTGATACTTCCACCCAGAGTTCAGCTGCCTGGTCGGTTTGTTTTCTGTATTTAACATATTTTATGAATGTTTATGCTAATTAGCGTTTATAGTGCGTGTTCTGCATCTTTTGATTAATAGACCAAGACCTCCATCCCTGACACAGATACTCAGGCCGATATTTTTGTTCTTACTAATTACACTGCAGTCAGCTTCATGTAAAAAAATATGCATTTTTTTATTTTAGGAGCTATAACCATATGCAAATTTATAAATCCAAAGCCACTTTATCCACAGGGAGAAGTTGGTCTACCAGGTCCTCCAGGAGTGGATGGAGAAAAGGTAATCTATGCTGTCATCAGTCAGCAAGAACTCCTCTTTAATCTAGGGGTTTTTAATCAGAATAAAATATGTAAATGTAATCTTTGAATAACTTTGTGTGCATTCATACTCACACATTATTAGCTTTAGATACCCTGAAAAAACTATTGTCATCTTTTGTTAGCTTTATGTTTTTTTTTTGTTTTTTGTTTTTTACTTTAGTCACATTTCAAATCAGCCTGTTTAAAAAAACTACTTCTGGAACAAGTTAAAACTGTGCAAATAGCCTTTAATACTACAGACTGTCAAGTTGGGTGAAGGTTTGAAGATTTAATTAACCAAAAAGGGCAACAGAAGCAAAAATCCAAAAACATAAATCCACAAAAAAACTGAAAAGCAGGAATACTCACAACAAGGGCAAAGACATAAGGCAAACCAGCAAACAGTGACTGAGCAGGAGGTGCATACATGGGAGAGAGAAACAAAGACCGGGCTAATCAGCAGATTGGGAGCAGGTGTGAACAGAGGAGTCTAGAAGGGAGCTAGGGGGAAGAGACTGACACAAGAGGACAAACAAGAAATACCAAAAAACTCAAATAGCTAGAATCACAAAATGGAAATAAAATCAACGAAAACTCAAAGATAACACTTAAACAAAACCAAAAGCATTTATTCACAAACAATCTTTCAGAAAAACAATTACCACTTCTGGGCAATGACAGCCCAGATATGGAGACTAAACAAGAAATATAAGAACTCAAATACAACCAGAAAAAACTAGAGTGACACAAAATGGAAATGAAACCAATGACCAGGAAAACACATGAAACCAGAACCAAAAAGCTCAGAAAGGGCAGAATCATGGCGGAGACAGATGTGTGACGATGCCTTCTATGAGCGTAGTTATTCTTGGTTTAGAAACCACTGACTGTCTTCCTGCTACTTTAAGATTCCTCTGGCAACTTTTGCTCTTGTGCACAGGAGTCGTTGGATAGAAGTCTCTACCCAAACAAACCATCTCACCCTGCTACTAGAGAATGAAAATTAAATACGTTTAATTTTGACTTCTTTTTTCCAGATCTTGAATAGAATTGAAATAGAGAGGACCGATGGCGGAGTGTTTGTGCCACAGAGACACATGCAGTGTTTAAAACCTGCCTGGTCGCACTCTCTGGTCGGACAAACCCTTTCCTGTCACCTCTGTTCTTGCTTCCCTCCTTTTCTTTGCAGGCTTCACCACGTTTCTGCGCATGTTCAACTTTGCCCTGTGCGTGCTCGGGTGGCAAACACCTGGCAAACAGGTTGAATGATCAGTTAGTGAAGTTAAATTGACCATTTGAGCTACCTCTGTTTCAGAAATGTTAAAGATTAGGCTCTTTGTGTCTACACCTTGGAGCTTTCTCTATCCGGTTCTTTTTCCTGAAAAGAGATCACTCGAGACAAACACTTCATAACTTATATGTATTGAATAACCAGGAGACATGACAACAGATTTTGGTAAAAAATTGGAATCTTACTCAGATCAGAGAAGTTGCTTAGAGTTACAGAAGGCAGCTGCTTACCAACCGGGCTCACATCTCAGGAAGCGGCCCTATCAACAGTTAAAGAGGCACTTTATACATCTCCAGTCTGCCACATCATCTTATTATTCATCATACACGTTAGCAGATGAGGAAACATCCATGGCTCCAGCCTTGTCAAAATATAAAAACAACAAGAATGGGAGTGGTGCAGGAGTGGGAGTCTTTCTGAATGGGAGCGGGATGGGAGTGGGAGTAATTTCACCAGGAGTGGGACGGGACAGGATTTAGATTTCTACTCTGGCCCGGGATCGGGGCGGGACACTATTTTTTTCTGTGGGAGTGGGACGGGACAGGAGTGAAAATACACTCCCGTGTCAGTCTCTAATCCAGACAGAGGAACTGTACTTATTAAATAAACTATTGTGGACAACATCAGTTCTGACACGCAACAGGCAGCTAATATTAAGGTGTAATAAATTCACACATCATCAAAGATAAATATCCTAAAAATAATTTTTTACGTAGCTCTCCCCCATTAAACCAAAGTGGTACTTTTTTTTGTGCTATGCAGAGCATGTGAGTGGAGCGTGGAGCGAGCTGTGTAGCGAAGCAGAATAAATATGGTGGAGTGCAGAGCGGTTTTCAATTCAAAGGCCTGAGCGAAAATTTTGCTGCGCTCTAGTTCGCTCCAACTTTATTTAAATTCACGTTTGACTTAAAACCTAGGCCAATACCTATGCTGTAGTCTGTGCCTATAATCTGTAATAGTCTATGTTTCAACTTTACCACGGAATCGCCAAGACCAAGGATTGCATATTGTGTAATAAAAAGTGAGATAAAATATCATAAAAACATTTACTAACTATACTTAACTATACAGAGTGGGTTTACATAGAGTGATCGTTGTGGTAAGACCCTGTTTTTGAACATGGATCACATTCATGCATTATACGCTATTATCTCATTTGCAATGAGATGCAAAGTGACCTTTTTTAATGTAGTCTAGTAAAATAAATAAATACTGATAATACTCATGTATCGGTCACATCATTAAATCAAATGCCATGTGTCTCAGGGCCCTGGCATCATTACATGAAGGAAAAATGTCAGAAAAGGCCTTCTCTTGAAAATCTGAGCGAGCGTGGAGGGATTTTGCTGTAGCCGCAGGAAAATGAAGGTTAGCGTGGAGCGGATTTTGAGTGGAGTGTTCTGGTGCCACTTTGAGCGGCAGAGCGAATGAGCGAACATCCTCCTGAGCGGGGAGCGGTTACTGCGTGGCGCTCCGCTCCGTTCATATACTTTGATGCTAAGTTACTGAACATTTGTGCTGTAATTCTAAACAAACATAAAAAACAATCCACTGGACGTTGTTTCCAAGTTTGAAGATGTTTTGCTTCCCATCCAGGAAGCTTTTTAATTCGAAATGTCAGAATTAGCGTACTGACGTTCTTGTGAATTTAGAAACAGCCCTTGACTACATACTGAGTTGGTAATTCAGTTTCAAATATTACCCCATCAAGGAGATGTTTTTTATTTTTATTTTGGGCTTTATACCTGAGAAGGAGGTTCTTAGATAGTCACAGAGAAACACAACTAGAGATCACCCAGAAATAAATACCAACAACAAAATTGAACTCAGGGACATTTTCCACATCAAATTCATACCTGTGGACACAAACAGTTTTTTTTATTTATGGTATCACTATTTCTTTTCTACATTTTATTTTTATCAAAGTATGTATGTTTCACTCTGTCCTTACCTGGGTCCATTAATCATACCTAAAATAGGGTAGCTAAAAGCTAGTTACCTAAACTCTAATATTATGAGATAGAAGCCAACAATGGTTAAAAATTTAAACCTAAAAACATCTAGAACCAATTTTGACAGCCTTTCAGATATTACCCTAGCTGAACAATGGTTAAAATATTTTAACAAATAACACAAAATGTGCATTAGTATTTGTTTATAAAAAGTTTGTCTGTAAAACCAACTAATTGGAAAGAAGAAAAAATAAAAATAAAGTTTATTTTAGATTTTATGCAAAAGAACGAATAATACACACACTTCCTCAATATCATCAGTGTTACTAATATTAATTTAAGGAACATTGAACTCATGTATTTTCAGGGATCCAGGGGGAAGCCTGGAGAGCCTGGTCCTTCAGGTCCAGCTGGTCCTCAAGGTCCCAAAGGGGAAAGTGGTGTCATGGGCTTCCCTGGAGCCAAGGGTGAAAAAGGAGACTTAGGTTTATCTGGATCTCCTGTGAGTCTCTTTGTTATCATGATATTATCATTATACAGTTTTCTGTTGTTGTTTTTTAACCATAGCCACAGTCCAACCACTATGATTCCTGTGAGAAGAGGGAGAGAGTTTATCAGGGCCTGCTTACTTTTTAAACAACAGAACTTAAAAATTTAAAATTTTACTGATAGAAAAGTATGTTAGAAAGAAATAGTGATAAATGAAAATTTTGTTATTTTAAGAGTATTGCTAATATACAGTCAGAAATGTTTTGTGTAGCCTGATCAGGAAGAGTCGGACATGAAACAAATAAGACTTCAACCAAATCCAAAATATTCTTTAACCTAATTTAGCATACCTTAATCATTTCTCTTTACTCTGTGAATACATGGCTTTTTGATGCTTTTAAGAAGCAAACAGACATAAACAGGCGTTCTGCAGAACTTTCAGAAAAAGGTCTCTCCTCCCCTTTAAGGAGCACATTTAAGAGAAAAGTCTGGTCAGCAAGGAATGACCAATGGATCATTATTTATACCTAAACCTAATATGTTCGAGGTGATTTAATGAATTTAGTCAGTGAAGAGATTAAAATAATTTTCGTCGCGATCACTGAGTCTGGGAGCGTCCATTTTTGCCCAAATATAGTAACACCTCCCTCCTGCCATCTTTTGGCGTCACTGCCAGAAGATGGCAGGTGCGGTAAGTCTAGCGCCATTCTCCCCGCTTCACAAGCAAAATCAATGGGAACTACTAGACACATCTGCAATCAACAACAATTATTGAAGATTTCCAGAGGACTTCACCATTGAAATTCACCAGAGCTATAGTGAAACTGACAATGCCCACGTGCATGGCAGCTGGATGCTGGAATACATCAAGTAAAAGGGGAAAAAATGTAGTTA